CATATCATCGAATTTTCTCATTCCAGGCAACAGGGGCTCCAGCTTTTTGTTTTGCTTTGCTATTTGGTGGAAAGCAAATATTTGGATAAAGCGTCCCACCATCTTTCTTTTTCTATGCGTCTTCGCCGACATAGGCGCGTAAGCTGCCCGCGTAAGGTCGCGCGTGAGCGCCCTTGCCTCCAATGCAGCATGCCGCGCCGGGGGCTCGTGTAAGCAACCGCGCAAGGTCGCTATGTCATCTCGCGCAAGACCTGTTTTTGCCGTCGCCCAGGTGGTAAGGTTTCGGGTGTAGATCTCCTGGCGCTGTTGAAACAAAAATGACGACGGGAGGTTTTCCGCTATCTCCAGCCTTCGCGTCGTGAAAAAAAGATCACGGCAGGCGGTTTTGCGCTATGTTTGGCATCTGGGGGCCCTCGCCGGGCCTCGGGACCGTCAAGAAACGGCTCAGGATGCAAAGCCGGTCCGGGGAGGGGGCCCAGACCTCTGGGTGTCAGCGTTGTAAAAAGGTCACGACGCCCCTGGTCTGGGAGTTGCGCACCGGCAGCCCCCTCGGGTAGTCCTGCTGGGCCTACTAGGGGGACCTGCTGAGGCCAGCCGGGACTGGGACTACAGTAAACCCAGCATCGTAAGGATGACCGACTTTCCAAGATTACCCTTGCATCCTCCCCCTTCGGCCCATCCACATCATGTGTCCTTACCATTCGGGTTCACTGTAGTGCCGCTGGGCCCACTCGGGGGATCTGTGGAGGCCAGCCGGGACTGGGACTACCTGTGATGGCTGTGTGCGCAACCCCTGAGCCTTGCCCGCCCCAGGGGACGACAAGGTTGCGGGCATTACGGCGGCGACGCCGACATCGACAGGGGAGTGCTGGCTCATCCCTTCCTTCCTCCTCGGAAGGAGGAGTTGGAGAAGGTTGAACAGGCCGAGGATGGGGAGCATGAAACGAGGAGGGGGAGGACACTGGGACAAATGGCCTAGGGTGTTCCCCCAGCGCCTCCCGCACCTTGCCGAACGTCCTCGTGTTGCAGGCGTCGTCTGGTGACCGTCGTATGACTCAATCCCTTGCCAGTCTGTTCCCGTTTTTCCAGCCTCTGCCTCTTCCACTTTTAGTATTATTAAAAAGAAGGCTTGGTTCTGATATTTCTTGAGTAGCGCGGTCAGTGCAGTTGTCTCTTGATCGTCATTCTTCTGTCTACTTGATTGTCCAATGGTGTGACGCTTGGGGGCGACCGGTTGCATGCTCGGTTGCTGTGTACGCGTGTCCGCCATGGCCATTTGATCGCTTGCCAAATTTTCTTCCACGGCATCGTGCGGGAACCCTTTGAATGTTTTCAGGCCTTGAATTTTTGCATATGCCTGCTTTTCCGAGTAAGTCATTCTGCAGCGTGGTTGCCCTTCCTTGTGTGGGAATGCAATTCCTGGGCGGTTGAAATCAGCATCGGCCCTGGTATATCAGTGGCTGGAAACTTGCCTAATCCGCCATAGTCCTGTCTAATTCCGATAAGTCTTGTTCGGCCCCACTTCTATAATTTGGCTTGCTCCGTGGTGATGCCAGACTTCACCAGGGCGAGGGTCCCCTGGGTTTCTTGCGTTTCGATGGTTCTGCCAGGGTTCCCACAGCAAAAATCAGTGGACGTCCTGAGGTCTCAGGGTTGCGTTTCTTGTGGAAGGTTTCTTGTGGTCGGGCCCTGTATGATGACCCAATGGATTTTTGATCGGGCTAGTTCGCCGTTTCTCTTTCTTACGGACACCTCCCAGCAGTTGCCTCCTAAGGTATCCTCCCGCCTCCGTGAGCGGGGGCAGCGGCCACAGGGAGTTACCCCTCGGAGGATTCTGAGCCCGTGCGGAGGAAGTCCGTGCGGAGTGTCCAGCATTCGTCTGGGCTCGCTTTGTCTGGGCTTCGCATCTCCTGATCGGATGCTGAGCAGGGCTCGACCCAAACGGTGTTTTGGCGATCTCGTGGGCCGTTTTCCGTTTTGGCTGCCTCCTGCAGCGAAGGCGGCACGAAGACAGCGCGAGGGAAAGCGAACACCGAGCGAAGACGAAAAGCAGTGTCTTTTGGTCGAGCCCTGGTGCCGAGTCCGTGCGGAGTAAGCCCGCGCGGAGCGCTCGGTTCGCCTGGGCTTCGTCCGTTTGCATTTCGTCTCTCCTTGAAGAATAACGCACGCCATAATCATGAATTGGATACGCGCTGGATCCCCCTCCCTGGCGCGGACAATGGCATAAACATGAACATAAACATAAACATAAACATGGCATGACACATTAACAATAACAACTCGGAGGTCCGCACGGATTTCTCGGATCGGCGCTGGACCCCTCTCCCTGGCGCGCGGAGCGCGCCAGGGGCGGCGCCGGAGGCGCCGCCGGGGGGGACCCCAGCACGGATCCAAGCAATCCGTGCGGAGCGCCAGAAGTTTATGTTTCTGGCGTGTTTTTTCTTCTTCTACAAGACTTGCCAACAAACATTGGCGTTTTTCTCCAAATAGGCTTGCCATATAGGAGTCCTAGCTCATCATACTAATTGGTCCGTTGCCCCTCCCCCTCCCTCACCTAATTCCTATGCCCCCCCTAATTCCTATGGCTATGCCTATGCCTATGCCTATGTCTCCCCCCTAACTCCTATGCCTATGCGTATGCCTATGCCTATGCCTATGCACCACCTTTGAGCGCTCCTAGTTCCAATTGCCCCCTTTTTTTCCAATGGCACTTGCTTGCTCTTGCGTGCTTGCTCTCGCTTGCTTGCTCTTGCTTGCCCTTGCTTACTTGCACTTATCGCTGGCTCTTGCTTGCTTGTTATTGCTCGCTTGCGCTTGCTTGCTTCCGCTTGATTTTGCTCCTCTTGTCCTCCTCCCGTCGTGCTCCCGTCCTCCTTTCGTCCTCCTCCCATCCTTCTCTCGTCCTCCTCCTGTCCTCCTATCTGTTTGGAGTCAACGCTGGCTGATATTTGTTCTCGGTGCTTGCATGGTCGGCGCTACTACAATGCTGGCATGAGGTATTCGGCCCAGACGAAATGGTGTCCGAAATCCGGCAGTACCCTCACAGCATTGAAGAACGCGTATTCTGTCAAGTGCCCGAGCTATCGAGCGCTTCGATGTTCAACAGCGTCTCAATTTACTTTCGAGGCTTGTAGGAGAGGCGAAGTCCATACGGACGAAGCGCAGGCGGAGGCCGAGCACACCGCGCAGGCCTACTCTCGAGCTGCGCAGGCTGCCCGCGCGGGCTAGTGCTCGGCCTCCGCCTGGGCTTCGTCCGTCTGGACTTCGCCTCAGGAGGAGGAGGAGGAAGAGGAGGAGGAGGAGGAGGAGGTGGAGGAGGAGGAGGAGGAGGAGGAGGAGGCGGAGGAGGAGGAGCTGCGCAGGCTGCCCCCAAAAGCCACGACGCGCCAGGAGGCCGGCCGGCGCCCTTCATCGACGCGGGCACCCCGCGGGTCTGCATCGTGCTGCGGGCCGGCGCTCTCCCTGCACCGCGTCTTCCCCTCGCCCTCCCCTCCCGATCGCCGTTCCCATTCCCTCTTCCTCCCCCTCCCTCGCACATCACCATCTCCGCCTCCTTTCCCAGAGTCTCCCCCACCACTCTCCTCCACTCCTCTCCGCCGCTCTCTCTCCGATCTCCCCCATCTCGCCCATCTTCCCTGCTCTTCCCCACTTCCCCATCTCCCCCACCTCCACCTCCTTTTCCCCATCTTTCTAACCTCGCCCACCTCCCCCCTCCTTGTCCGTCCTTTCTCTTTGTTGCCATCTCCTTGACTGTTTCCGGGCAAGCTTCTTCCTCGTGCGCGCTTGACGATATATCAGAGTCTCAATGCTTGGGCCTCGGTGCGACGACGAGTGCAGGAACATCCTGCTGTGTTGCAGCCCAAGCATTCACGCTTCACGTATCCCTACCAGCCCATTCTAAAATCCTGACCATGAGAGTTGACGGGAAAACTCACACGGCGCACCTGGTGCACGTGGCGCACGTGGATGCGCCTGAGTCGCTAGTCGCGCGTGACGCAGCTGGCGCACATGACGCATGTGGCGCGGCGGACGCGCCCGGCGAAGCTGGCTCACCTGACGAGCCTGGCGCGCCTGGCGCACCTCCTGGCGCAGCTGCCATTCACATCGATAGTCTGGTTGTCTAGTGGAAGGCGACCGCTCCCATGCAGAGTCTCGGGTGCTACTGATGTTGTGCGAGGGCGGGAGGGAGTGAACGAAACAGTTTATGGTTTTGTCCTTTTCGGCAATTCGTCTTACACTTCATCTTCACCTTCACTGGTGGTGTGTTTCGCTCTGCCCCTTCTGGCTGCTGCTCTGTCTTCTTGTTCCCGCCAGATAGAGCCACTGCGTGGCCGTCTCTTCATCCTTCCCTCCTTTCCTCCTCGGTGTTTTCCTTCTTTTCGCCGTCCTTTCCCCTCCTCGGTTCCCATCCTCTCCCCGTCTTCGCCCTCCTGCGCTTCTTCCACTCCCCTCCTCCTCCCCCCGCGCCTCGCCCCCTCTCTCTTGCTCGCCCACGCTCTTGTCCTCCCGACCTGCCCTCCATTCTCCCTCCCCTCCTGCCCCCCCCCCTAATTTCCTCCCTGCCCCCCCTCTCGGGCCACAGCTCGGGCCTCCAGTGGCCAGCCGGGGCGATCCCGGCACCCCCGCGACGCCCTCGCCGAGCTGCAGCCGATGGCAACCACCCCTGGGCTCCGGAAGTGCCTGGGAACCTTTTGGGAACTCTCGGAATCTACGGATTTTCAAGCCTGATCAAAAATCCCCCTCCTCTCCCCCGTCGAGGGCGGCCAAGAGGGGGGTGATGACTAATCAAGGAGGGGGTGGATATCATGATGCCGGCCATGAGATCACCCCAGATTTCATGGCGCCTCGTCTTATAACTCAGTGCGTCCCTGCCCCCCCCTGGGCCGCGCACGTGCCGCCGTCCACGGTTTGCGGCCCGTCCCCTCTCGGACGCCCCCCTCTTGGCCGCCCCTGGACCCTCTCCCCTGCCCTCCCTGCCGAGAAGCCGCGATCCGCCACAGGGGGAGCAGAGTCTGCGCGACATGGCCCGGAAGGCGCTGTGCCGGCTGGCGGCGGACCCCGTCGGCGCCCTGCCGCGCAGGGGGGGAGGGGGGGGCGGGCGGGCCGCTCTCCGTCAAGGGAGGTTGATCCGAGGGGGGCGAGGGGAGGCAACTTCGGACGAGAATGGATCCTCCTCTTCCTCGCCCTCGCCCTCCTCCTCCTCCACCTATTCGCCCTCATACTCCTCCTCCTCCTCGTCCTCGTCCTTCTCCTCCTCCTCCTCCTCCCCCTCCTCCTCCTCCTCATCCTTGTCCTCGTCCTTCTCTCCTCCTCCTCCTCCTCCTCCTCCTCCTCCTCGTCCTTCCTCCTCCTCGTCCTTCTCTTCCTCCTCGTCCTCCTCCTCCTCGTCCTCCTCCTCCTCCTCCCCGCCCCCTCCTGCTCCTCCTCCTCCTCCTCCTCCTCTTCCTCCTCCTCCTCCTGCTGCTCCTCCTCCTCCTCCTTCTCCTTCTCCTCCTGCTGCTCCTCCTCCTCCTCCTCCATTCCTTTTCCGTATACGTAACTTCTTCCTGTCGCACCCCGAGGCCAGTTTCTAGGGCGGGCTGGGCGTTTCGGCCGAGACTTCCTCACCAATTATGACCCCGAAGCTTAGAAGTTGACAACAGTTTCCTACATGGTCAACATGTGGCTTTCGCCTTAGCTCCACGTACATTCGTTTAAACAAAGTGCAAGACTTTCTATGGATTCAGGGCGACCCGTTTTCGAAATGTGGCTCTCGCCTTAGCTCCGTGCGCACTTGTTTAAATATTTGCAAATGTTTCACGGATTGAGGGCCACCCGTTTTCAATTTGTGGCTCTCGTCTTAGCGCCGCGCACATTCTCTTCAAGCAGCTGTAAGAGCTTCACGGATTGAGGGCGGTTCCTTTTCAAAATGTGGCTCTCGCCTCAGCGCCGCGCACATTCGTCTAACACATTTTCAAGAGCTTCACGGATTGCGGTTCCCTTCTCAAAATGTGGCGCTCGTTTCAGCGCCGCGCACATTCGTTGATACATTTTGCAAGGGTTTCACGGGTTCTCATGATTAACGTACCAGAAATGTAGTTTTGGAAGGATTCAGGATTTTGCGGGTGCAGCAGTTACGTTGATTCGCGGTGCTGAAGTTTCAAGGGTGGCGTTCTGGCGCTATTCTGGACCGTCCAGACGCAACAGTCTGGTTGATCCGTGGTGTTGTAATGCCGAGAACAATGTTGTGGCATGCTTCAGAATCTTCAAAATGTTGTCTTCCAGCGAGGCAGTTTCCTCAATGGAAATGTGGAGGGAGCTTGGAGGGAGGTTTATTCCAACAAGGTTGATGATTCTTGGGTTTGCACTGGTCCTCCTCCTCCTGTCTTCTTCGCCCTCTTCTTCTTCCTCCTGCCCCTCCTCCTCCTCCTGCTGCTCCTGCTCCTGCTGCTGCTGCTGCTGCTGCTGCTGCTCCTCCTCCTCCTCCTCCTCCTCCTCCTCCTCCTCCCCCTTCTCCTTTCCCTCCTCCTCCTCGGCCTGCTCCTCTCTTCCTCCTTCTCCTTCTCCTCCTCTTTTTCGTCGTCCTCCTCCTCCTCACCCGACTGGGATGCTCGGTTGCCATTTGGCTCAAGCACCCGCGCGAACGCATACCTGATAGAGAAGGCAAAGGTCCGCTGACATTGTACTGCCGCCATGCTATCTTTCTCGCCGCCCCCCCCCGCAATGTCAGTTTGTAGTGGATTTGGATCTTTCCCAGCTCACGATCCGCGGAAGTCGCGCAGTTGAAATATGGACGCACGTTCGCACTTTCCTCACATTCTGCACTGGAACCGAACCGCCCTCCATTCCCTGAACAATCCGTGCCTGTGGCTATTCTGCAACCTTCACGGGAATTCATCCACGTCACCCACAGGCGCGGCGAGACCAATGCCAATGACCGCAAGTGACCCTGTGAGTGCATCGTCTGTTGGGAGACAAGTGGCCTGGAGTAGGGGTAAGTCGACCCAAGGAGGCAGCGATGCTTCGGCACCTCACCATCACAACATCTCAGCATTGGCAGTGGGGCTAAGGCATTTGCGCTATACCGCACGACTGGGCCAGTGTTTTGGTTCGGATTCTGCGCGGTGGTGCTGGCTTGCCTTTTAGCGAACACGTTGCGCATTCCGAACGGATTCAAGCCGTTTAACGTCCCTGGTTCGCCGTTCTTGCGTATCATTAATGATTCCAGTCATTTCCGGCCGACGGGTTTGTCAGGTGGATGTCCAACTTGGTTCTATTGGGCAGGATCCTCCTTTCCTCTGTGGCCGCCTTGCTCTGGCTTGTTTGTATGATGCTTGGAGGAGCCGGGCAGCAAGGCGGAGTCGGTGGTTGGGGTGGCATCACATCCCGCCAACCTTCATCCTGATCACCGGAACGGGAATCAGCTTACCCGTTCCGCCATTGGATGCAGGACCTGCTCGCCTGGGGCGTATTCGCCACCGACATGGACAGCGCCCACGAGTGCGTTGTCGCGATCCTGAACCTCGGCGGCGCCGCTCGCGAACTCACGCGCTCTTTATATCACGGTGATGATAGAAGGAGGATTGGCGAAGGGAGAATAATGATACGCCGTCAGCCACCTCGTCGCGAACCTCGCGAGCCAGTTGAGACCACCTTGGTGAAGCGTCACGCCGACAGGCCACCCTGGGCGCTTCGAATTGAGGAGGCGAAGCAGCGAGAGCACTTATGCGCTGCTTTCGCGGTTCCCCCCGCTGCGATTCCGATCAGTGCACGATGATTGAGCTGCGATGTCACGGGGGGGCTGCAGCTGGCTGCTCCTTCGAGCGGTAGGCGTCGCCGCCAGCCAATTCAGAGCGCTGCTCGAGCCCTGCGTCAGCCGACATTCAGCTACAGAGCCTGCGTTCAGCAGTCTCGCGACTATGCTCAGGCGTGTTTGTTACATCGTGGAGTACGAACCCAACGACATCGCCAGCGCCGTTCGTTCGCCGCCATCCTCTGGAGGCTTCGTAGACATGACCAGCGACAACAGCAACGACGCGCGCGATGCAGACCCGGTGCGTTCACCAGGGCTTCACCCCTGGGGTGTCGGCCCTGCCGACTTCCCAGGTGCCGGAGGTGCCCTCGCGTTCGTCGGCAGTCCTCGGCCAGGTGCTGCGCCGCGGCAGGTCGCGTATCCTGCCGCTGCGTGGCCGCGCGCGGATGAATCGCAGGTCTACCTCGAAAGCGCTAGGTGCCCCTGTTCCGACGCCAGCGCAGACCATGGAGTCGCCATCAGCCACTCATCAATTCAGCGGAGTTGTTCTCTGGCAAGGGCAAAGGCAAAGGCAAAGGCAAGGGAACTCGTAGTTGCAGCTTCTTGGCCCAGCTGGCCCGCGACCAGGTTGGCGCCGTCCCCTGCGGGGGCAGATGTGACAGTGGATGCAAGCGTTCCAGCGGCGAACGCACTGGCCGCAATGGTAGCCCTCGGGGGCGCGGCGGGACTTCGATGGCGCGCGGCGTCGCGGTTCGGAGCTCGACTTCAGGGCCGAGTGTCCACGGGCCAGGTCTGGGAGCCCATGCGCCCGAGGAGGTGGCCCGAGTTTCGGAGGTTGCGCCAGCCTGGCGCCATTCAGCGGCGCCCTGGATGCTGGGCTTATTGCCGGCGTCTCAGGAGTCGCCATCGTGGTCGCCAAATTTCCGTCTCAACCGCGGCCCGGACCTGGCCTGTCCAGATCAACTTGCTTCCAAGGGCTTCAGGCAGATGCCCGAGTCTATCCGCGGCTCTTGGTTTGCTGCGTCGCTGGCCGCGGTCCAGGGTTGAGCGTGCGCCGGCGCGCCCGTCGTGCTACCTGTGCTTGAGATGCTCGACGTTGCCGCGCCGTCCTCAGGGCCGCAATTCCCAATTCGGCCGCTGTTCCCTAGCGCGGCCTGCGCGGCCTCGGAGCCGGCGGCGTCGCTGGGCCCCCGCCCGCGAGCGCGCCGCCATGAACCCGCGGTGCAGCGCGGAGGCTTCCGCTCGCCCGACGGCTCGCGGTTCCCGACCGCCGGCGAGTCGCCGTTCCACGAATTTGCGGATTCAGCCAGCTAGCTGGTTACCTTTCAGGTTGCAGCGCCGTGGCTCTTCCCGCCTCGCCGAGGCGTCGGCCGCGGCCGCCATGGCCAACGAACGCGGAGGAAGGGGGAATCGGAGGAAGAGGAGGGGGGGAGAGGAAAGACGCTTCAGGCGCTCCGTTCTTGTAACCAGAGAGAAACGACAGGCCGCGCACTTCGCAGCAGGCCTGCGTTTCCGCTCTCGGAGCCAAGCGTGGGAAGGGAGAAGGTGGGAACGGAAAAATCGGGGATCGGAGGAAGAGGGGAAAGGAGAGAGATGACGCTGCAGGCGCTCCGTTCTTTTCAGCAAGAGAGAAACGACAGGCCGCGCACTTCGCGGCGGGCCGTCTCCTCCGCTTTCGGAGTCGAGCGTTGGAATGAAGGTGGACAAAACAGAAGGAGGAGTCGGGGGGGGAGGGGGGGGGCTGGCGCTGCAGCCGCTCCGTGTGTGTGTGTGTGTGTGTGTGTGTGTGTGTGTGTGTGTGTGTGTGTCTGTGTGTGTGTGTGTGTGTGTGTGCGTGTGCGTGTGAATGTGTGAATGTGTGAATGTGTGAATGTGTGTGTGTGTGTGTGTGTCAGGCCGCGCACTTCGCAGTAGGCCTCCGTTTCCGCTCTCGGAGCCAAGCGCGGGAAGGAAAAAGGCGGGCGAAAGTGCAATCGGGGGAAGAGGAGGGTGGGGGGGAATTGCGCTTCAGGCGCCCCGTTCTTCTAACCGGAGAGAAACGACAGGCCGCGCACTTCGCGGCGGGCCTGAGCTTCCGCTCTCGGAGCCCAACGTGGGAAGGACGAAAGCGGAAACGCAAGAGGGGGGATCGGAGGGAAAGGGGGGGGGAGAGAGAGATGACGCTTCAGGGTGCGCCGTTCTTTTAACCGGGGAGAAGCGACAGGCCGCGCACTTCGCAGCAGGCCTGCGTTTCCTCCGCTCTCGGAGCCAAGCGTGGGAAGGGGGGTGGGGCAAGAGGCGGGGGGGGTCGGAGGAAGAGTGGGGATAAGAGAGAAATGACGCTGCAGGCGCT